TGCAGCCGGTCACCGACTTCATCCGCTTCCCCCCCGCCGCCGTTGTTAAAATGGTACGGCCCCAGCGGTCGGAAAGGGCGGGGCCTGCGCCGGAAAGGGAAGCGCCAGGCCGCTTCAAGACGGCTCGCGTGCGCCATGGCTGTCCCGTGCGCTTTGGTCACCAGCTGTGCTGCGGGCTTCCCAGGGGAGGAGCTGGTGAAACGTGAGTGGGCTCGAGCCCCGGCCTTTCTTTAAAATCCCCGGAGATCGTTTCCCGGCGCTACCTCTACCCTTGCTCATGGCAATAGAGGTTGCGCTCTAAGCCTCGAGAAGCAAAGAGTCTCTGAACATGTACAGAGTGCTCCAAACGGCACTTTTCTGTGGGCAGCTGCTTTTGGCCAGCCGTGAAATTTCTAATGTAGCCCTGCCGGGCTTGGACTAATCTGGATGAGCTCGAGAGGGCGGCAAAAGAGAGCCAGTGAGGTGAAGGTGCTGGCCTCGAAGCCAGGAGACTATAGTTCTAGTCCCGCCTTAGGCCTGAAAGCCGGCTCGGTGATTTTGGGCCCGTCCCTCTCTCTCAGCCCAACCCACCTCGCAGGGCTGTTGTTGGGGGGGAAAAGGAGGCAGGAGTGTTAGGTATCTTCACCGCCTTGAGCTTACTCTGTGTGTGTGTGTGTGTATACAGTATATATAATATGTATAGGCACGTTATATTAAAAAAGGCGAGATAAAATAATAAAAGAGCTGTGTGTGTTGCTCCTCCAGGTTATTGGGGTCACTCTCCCTAATGAAATGGTGAGTGGGGAGAGTGGGATTCCTTCTTTTCTGCGTTTGAATTCTGCTTTTTAGCAAGAAGGAGATTCTCATCCCCCAAAGGGAGTGATGGCAAGCGGTAGAGGAGGAAGTCCGTTTTTCGAGACCAGGGAGGAGCACTGAGCAATATGCTGGCCCTTACAGAAAATCCAGGGTGGGTTGACTTCTGCTTCCTGCAGGTCTTCCTCAGAAAGTTGTTGGTTGCTTTGTGTTCTGATAGGGAAGGTGGATGGGCTTGGAGGATTTTGCCTTTGGATCCTCCAGAAGGGGTCAGTGCAAGCTTCCTGTATCTCTTCCTCATTCCTTAAAAGCCATTATTTTCTTTTTATCCAATACAAATAAATGTGGTGAATAAGTGATGAACTTCCGGGAATACAAGAGCCAGACCCCCCATTTCGCCCCCTTGGTTTCTTGGGTGCAGTATGGACTTGGTCAGAGTGTTCTGGATTGAAATATTTTCTGAAGTTAAAGATATACAAACCAAGCTAAATACAGTAAAGGTTTCAAGAGTTCAGTCTGTTAATTATGGCATTGGTTTCCCGAAACTTGGGAACTATAAAGAATGTCTTGAAGCACATTCAGACGACCCTTTTATCCCCTTGGTGCTCAGAGAAGCTCTTCAGAGATGCAGTAAAATGTGATATGTTTGTAGAGCCATAAAGTTGGATGGCACTAAAAGTCGTTTATCCTATCCTGTTCAATGCATAATGACAAGTGGCTGTCCATTTCTAGTCCTGCCCAACTGAAGTGACAGTTGGCAAACATTGCCATCTTGAACATAGCAGCCCTTCAGATATTTGAAGATAACTATCATGGTCTCCCTTCAACGGCCTTTTCTATAAGCTAATCATATCCCTGTCTTTCAGTCATTTTGTATGGGGTTTTATTTTCAAACACATCCTGTCCCAGTTACTCTTCCTTGACCCAATCCAGTTTGGCAGCATCAAATATATAAAAGGCTCAGAACTTTTGAATATAGAAGGGCACAGTTTTTCCCATCTAGTCTGATTAGCACTGAACAGTTCTGCAGCTTTTGTGATCTAGAGACTACTGTTGAATTCAAACTCAGATGGTGTTCACCTTTTTAGTAAAAGCAGCAGACTGCTGGCTCAAATGATTGGTGCCCTGTTGAATGGTTGCTTCTCCAATCTTTTGTCCTTAAAGGCAAGGATATCCTTTTGAACCTTGCTTCTCTTTGGCTTTAGATAATCTTGCCATCTGTCATCTGTCTGTTTGATGAAGCCCCTCCATATCCTTATCCAAGCGAAGCAAAGCACAGGACCCAGGATGAAAGCCTACAGCAGCCTGCTGAAGATTTGATGTGGGGTCATCCTGCGTCCTTGCTAGCTACAGTTGTTTAGCAATAGATCCATTAACATTCACACTTACCATTTTCTAAGCTAGGAAGTGAAAAGGTCTCTCCAAATATGCTTCACCATTATAACAACGAATTAGTAATGAAAGTTGTTCTGATATAATAAACACATACTGGCTCTTAATCATTACAGGTATTACATGTTTTCCTTGTTTTTTTTTAAAGATTTTTTATCCTGCCTTTATTTTTTTTATAAATAACTCAAGGCAGCGAACAAACAGCTGCTTAATAATCTGTTCTGAACCCAGGCAGTTTCTCTTCTGTCTTAAGCTGCTAAATCATTAGTACTCAGCTTATATTGCCAGACTACTGGAAACTGTTCATGAAAAAATACATATTATTGCTCTTTTCGTGGGGAAGATAAGTTAGACTAAATCTTGGGAGAAATGTGCTCTTGAAAGTCAGTGAACTGATGTTCAGTATTTGTGAAACTGAGAGCCTGTTTGGTGTAGTGGTAAAGGCACCAGGCTGGAGACCGGGAGTTCTAGTCCCGCCTTTGGCATGAAGCCACCTTGGGCCAGTCCCTCTCTCTCAGCCCTAGGAAAGAGGCAATGGCAAACTACTTCTGAAATCTTGCCAAGCAAGCTGCAGGGACTAGTCCAGGCAGTCTCCAGGAGTTAAGACTGATCTGAAGGCACACACACAAGAACATTTGTTACACTGAAGTTGTGTGGCAGTTAAGACATCAGACTTTGACCAGGGAAATCCTGGAGAAGTTCCCCTTTGACACCAGAACTTCCTGGCTGGTTTTGAACCAGTCATTCTCTTTTAATCCAACCTAATTGATGGATTGTTGTGGGAATAAAATTAGAGGCGACCCCTATGTAAACCACTGAACTCTCAGACAAAAGGCTGAACATAAATGCAATAAAGAGGTTGCTACTTTCAGCGCAGTGTGACTTGTGTTGGAATAAGTATGTATAAAGTAGGTTGGATTTGTCATAACAGGCACAGACAAATTGGAAACTTGTTTTGTGCTTGTATGTTGGTTTATCTCATTAATTATATCTATAAAATAGTAGCACTGCTACATATTTCCTGGCAAAAATCCAGGCTTGAAACTTCTTCGGCTTACAGTACTTTAAATTTTGTAGGTCTTGGGATGTGAAAAGCTGCTTGAATTGAAATAAACGCCTCCATTATTTATGTGTATTAGGCTGGTTTGATCCTGTGAGCGTGCCTTCAAATGTTTTCAAATTGTGGTCCATGGACCACGGGATCCGCTGCAGCCTTTCCACGCAACCAAGTGGTCTGCTACTAGTTAGCTAGTTCACAAAAACAGATGAGTGGCTGGGAATTGTTTCACTGACGCATACAAACTGTAATACAAGTGGCGACACGAATACCAAAATTCAGAAAACTGACACTAGTTAACAGATCTTGGATGCAGTTACCGTGTGTTGTGATAGATGAACTTTGATCTTGCAGAAGCATCACGAAAAGAAAAATGTGAATAGGGTGTATGAGAGTGGATATCTAAAGACAGAATTTCATTGGGCTGGAATTGAATTTGTCCCTAGACCCGTGAATTTGTCTCTAAGACCTATTGAAGAACATTTTTGACCAGCAAGTTTATGCTAAGGTTGTTATGGCATGAGATACATAAAATAATTAAAGCAGTAAATAAATACTTAATATTGGATTAACTTTTTGGTGCAAAATTTAGTTTAAAAAGGGTTTAAAGGTGGAGGGGATAAGAAGGCCTATACAGATACAACTATAATCATTACCTTATTGATTGAGAAATGCGAACTCCATGTTCTTGAAGGCAAAAATATGGGAGGTTTGTTTTTTATGTTGTATTTAAATTAGGTGGTTCTGAACATTTACATTTAGTGGGCCATGGTTGCAGAAATCTTGAGAAACACTGCCATAGAGGCTGCGCTATACAAAAAGCCATATTGTGGGCTCTGTAAATTTGGGAGATTCTCTGGCTGCAATCCTGGATAAGCCTCCTAAAATCTATGTTGTGCAGTACGTTCGTTTTCCGACACCCATATTTTGCTGATTGTGATGTAATCCAGCTAAAGTCCTTGCAGTTCCATAACCCATAACCTCCTAACATTACCTTTGGATTTAGGGGGCTTGCGGTCAGGGGCAGGGGCTATTTTAAAGCATTATTCCCCCACTGTGGCAGTGGTGTTTTTTTTTAAAGCTAGATGTTTTGCTTTGGAGAACCTCTTCTGATGGATACAGGATAAAGCCTCTGTGGAATCAAGTGTCACAAATGAAACATGCATGGTGTTAATTGTCGCAGTGAATTGGATGAGGGAAGGGGAAGGTCAAGAAAGTTGCCGGGCGATCATAAGGTCCTCAGAAAGAAAGTGAGGGTCTTCCTTTTGTAGGTGGTGGTCATGTGATGAAGTTAAACCCTTTTGGCACAACATTTTGGAGAGTTAGGTTTCATTAGTAAACGCTCCTCAGAGATAGAATTACTGTACTGCATTTATTTATGGGATCAAATTTTAACCTTACAAACAAGGAACTTATTATTTACTTAATCTTAGCAGCTAAAATACTAATTATTCAACATTGGAAAGACAATTTAACAATTGAGATGTGGATTAACAAGGCTTTTTCAATTACCATGTTAGAAAAGATTGCAGATTAAGTTAAGGTAATGAAACTTCTGAGGCAGGAACCACAATTTTGTTCAACCTGGGCACAGTAAATATCAATATGTATATTATCTCTCTACTTATTTTTTAGTGGATTTTAATTTTTTTGTCTATGCATCTTGGATTTATGTTACTCAATTATTTGATACTGTTTGTTAACCACAGTTCAATAAAAATATAGAAAAATATTTTGTAAAAAGTGAGAAGAACAGATAATGTAAAAAAGGTGTATTGATACAGCACTGTAAAGCACTTTTATGGTATAGAAGCAAAGAATGTTTTCAAGGATAGAGGATAAATGATGGAGTAAACTAGATTTAGTTACAGGTAGTCCTTGACTTATGACCATTTGTTTAACGACTGTTCAAAGTTATGACGGTGCAGCATCCCCATGGTCATGCAATCAAAATTTGGGCA